CAGCAAGAAACTATCATGTGAAAACTGTATGGAGAGCACGGAGAACCTCAGCAGATGCACTCAAAGGCAATATCTAAGCTGGTTTTTATTCCATTAAAAAAAAACTACAATAAGAATAGAAATTATTTACAGCAATTTGTGGCTTGATTACTTCCTACATGGGGCGTCTTAAAATTAATCTGCTGTCAAGCTGCACATGCATCTGAAACCAGTAAAGCTTCTATCTCTCTCTGATGTTTTATTATTCCAAAACACACACAAATCAAATGTGTTGGGTTTTCTTTCATTCCAACAATTGTTCTCAGGCTGAGAGATCATGATGCCAAATTTTTGGTTAGAACAGGCTGCTATGTTCTAATATTAACCTCTCCAACCCTCCCAGAGAAAAAAGAGGATAATAAAGAGAAGACAACAACTATCTGGTGCAACATGCAGACTCATTCATTCAATGTGTTTAAAAATTCTGAAATTCCTGTGCATTGACAAGACTACATGTCTGAAACATTCAAACTATTTTTTTGACTGGCATGTTTAAATTAAAATTATATTAGACAGACAGATACAAGAGATGTTCATCCACACTTTGGTGTTGTTGTTGTTTAGTCGTTTAGTCATGTCCGACTCTTCGTGACCCCATGGACCAGAGCACGCCACGCTACTTGATTTATTATTCCATTTGTTCCATTATACATTCTTCCATTTATTTCAGACTCAATGCTAACTATTTCAGCCAAACTAAACGTGACTTTTACCACAAAGTTTGGCGTTGTGTTGCTGTTTTTGTTTAACCAATAGCTGGCAGGGGATTGAGCTGGACTAAACGTGAGTTCTACCACATAGCTTGGCATTGTGTCACTGTTTTTTTGTTAAACCAATAGCTGGGGTAGGAGGCTGACCATACTTGCTGTTTGCATTGGGAAAGAAAGCTGCCATTGGAACAATTGGGGGCTTATCCCATTGCTGATAGTTAGGAGTGGGGACCTGATCCAGATTGGGACCACAAGTTGGGGATAAAGCATTGAAGTACCCCATACCATACCATGCTTGCAAGCTGGTCATTGTCGTCCCCCCATTTTCAATTGGTTTTAAAAAAAAGATCAACTATACAACATCAAGCTAAAGGGCAAAACTAGCCGTGACTTTTATCTCTGTTTGCAATTCAGTTTTAAAGAGACATACTGTATGAACGCCAAGTTCCAAACATGTCGTATACTCCCAGCTAACTCTTGCAGCATCTACTGACTGAAGTCGAAACTGTCTTTGTTATTCAGCCCATAAGGATTTCCAAACTTACTGAGCACAACTGCGCATCTGTAGTATTAAGCAACCACATTTTATTTGTGGATGTTTTTGGCAAGCAAAATTGTGTGCGTGCATGTGTGTTTAAACTCCATTTTCTATTAGAAACCTGAAGCATGGCTGAGCCACCACAGAGAACAATCCCGTACTTGTAGCTTTTGCGTTCCTATGTTCATCTGTCCCACTGCTATCCTCAAAACTACACATGACAGAACTGTGATTCTCTCGCTAGCTGTTTTTTAAGAGCTTAAGACTGCCACCCTATACAGTGTCTTGGGGTGGCATCAGCTTGGCTCCTAGGGTTTAGAAAGGGCAATCATCACCACTTCCACCAAGGCTTCTGCTTGGCATTGCTGCTGTTCCCATCCCTCATGTCTCCCCGTCTGGACATTAGTTAGGAGGGAATTAATCTTTCCTCCCTGTCCCTAGCTTGTTGCATCTTCATGCTATTTGTCTCACAGGGGCCATTTCTCCCTAGAAGCAAATGGCAGCCAAAATGTGTGCATCAAAAAGCTTCTCCTGATTAGTTTTTGGGTGTCTGTCAAGTTGCTCACACACAGAGGCACAGCTGGTTCACTTGTCCTCTCCATGTGAGTGAGCAGTGACAGGAACAAGGAAAAGGGACCTAATCTTGTTCTTTTCCTCTGGTTGGTAGTGAAAATTGTGTCTATCGGGGGGAATCAAGCAAATGAGTAACAGGAACAGAAATAAGGTGGTGTAGTGGGGGGTGTTCAGAGAAAAGGGCATTAGGAACTTGTAGCGTTGCTGATATTACAGAAGGCTCTCTGTGTTCCTGCACTACTTGTATCAAGACAACATTTGTGTGAGAGCTTAGCAAACAGAATATCTGTGTTCTGCCAACACACATTTCAGAGTCAAGCTATATGGGGAATGAAAAGTCTAGGAGACAACTCATGTGTGGAAAGGCTGAAGGAAATGCGTATGTCCATCCCAGAAAAAAGAGGAAGGAGAGCAAGTAGCACAGTGACAACTTCTATATAAAACTTGTCCACATTTCCACTTGTCTCGTGCACTTTCTAGGCACAGGCACAAGAGACTTTGCATTTCCCTGCAGTTTTCCAGAGACATATCCAGGCGTTGGTGAAACTGGCCCCTGCTGGGGGGCGCAGGCCTGGTTGGGGGATGACGACAAAAATCACCTATCAGACTATGAAGTTTTTGGTGTATATGTGTGTGGTGATGTGCCACTGCTATTGCAGCGAGATCAAATGTGGGGGAAACTTCCGGTTCTTCCTGTGCCATGGCACACGGGTGTGTGACTTTTTTCACCTTCCCTCCTTGCCTTGTCCTCACTCTGGACTCTTCAAGTAAAATGTTGTAATTTCTAATGTGGCTACTGTGCTAAAGTGATTTTTTTTGAGGGGGGCACTGATGCAACTCCTTGCCAAGTGAGCAAGGGACCTTAGGTATGCCTCTGCAGCTTTCCCCTGGAAAACCTGCTCTATACCACTGAATCTGTGGGAAACACAACTGCCATTTGTTCCAATTCAGCAATAAAGAGCGGGTTTCCCCCAGGGAAAGTGGTAATGCAAACAGAGTTGTGGATGAGCCCATATTAAAACAGGTTGAAGTGGGGAAAATTCTTCTTCACAGTATTATCTGAAGAGAATAGAAGAAACATAATCATACCATGGCAATTTAAGTTGAAGCTTGGATGGAAAAGAACATATTAACTCTAAAAAGTAGTTCAGCAAAGGATCAAGTTGCCAAAAGAAACTATGAAGTCACCTTCCTTCCCCCCCCCCCTCTCTCAGTGTGTGTGTGTGTGTGTGTGTGTGTTCCAAATAAAGGAATATGTCAGTGAAGATGCCCTACCTGAGGGCAAAAAGTTATACTAGCAGATTGCAGAAAGGCTCAGGTGCCAAACTAATGACCCAAGTCCGGCAGGGCTACAATCTCCAACATGCTCATCCATTTGTGTGGGCATATATATTTGTGTAGAAGATGTGCTTCACAAAATGTGTAATCAGAAATGGCCCCAAGTGTTCCTATGTTCTATATAGGGATGGTGGGAGAAACTTGATTTAAGTCCACATTTAAAGGCAAACCTACCAAATTCTTACTTTCTGAACCAAAACACAGCCATCCTTTAAAATTCACAGCCAAGTAAATCCAAATCCAAATGCATATATTAGTGAAGATAACATAAAAAATGCATTGTAGGGGGAAATTGCAAAACAGTTTATTAGGCAAAATCGAAGACAAAAATGTGTTTATTGGGAGAAATTCACACTAAAATGGTGATGAATATTCATCAGGGGGTTTTTTAAATCACAAATTGCTGTAAAAATGTTGAGAACTTAATTGAAGACTGGAAAACTGAGATACAGAGAAAACTGAATCAGACAGACCCATCATTCCCTAGTTCTATAGCAGGGTCAACCAACACATTACATTAATCTCAATACAAAATGACTGCCAGGTGAAGCCTTTTGTGCTCAATAACTTGTCGTTGTGGAAAAATACTGTTTTTAAACTCCATCTCCTTTCAAAATGTACCAGACAGCGAACAATTCAGAGCAGCTGGACCTTTGGATGCAATATAGAATCATTTTGAACTTTTATGGATTCTATTCCTAATGTGAATGGTGGAAGGTGGCAGAAAGCAGTCTTTTGGAAATCATTTACAGTTAAATGCAGAGTAATGCTTTACAAAGGCTAGGTTGTGACATCATGGTATCTTATGATTTAATATATAGTTCCCTAATCATTCTGGGCCCAGGGACACACTTGAAAATCTAAAACTGCTGTGGGAACCACAAAAATAACAATTTCATGGGGGGGGGGGAATTGTTGATGCTCAGAGTCCCCCTCCACAAAGGCAAACCACCTACCCTGCCAAAACATTTGGTTAAGTACTTGTAAAGTTGTCCAAATCCAGCTCTGTAATGAATGTTAACTATGGCTATTTTAAACAAGCCATCTTCAGAAACCATGGTTTAAACGAGGCTCGTTTGAAACTAACTATAGTTAATGTTAACCACAGTTTCTCATGCTTGGATGACATAACTAACTGAGGCTAACAAAAAATGGAGGTGAAAACTTCTGATCACCTCCTTCCAAACACATGGGGTGAGGGAGAAGTATGGAGGGCAAAAGTGTGCAATCTCAAAGAAGCTGGGTACGTTCACATCTTTCTAAGGCATAGTTTAGTGTGATGTCCAAACACAGTCTTTATGTCTGGCACCTTACACATTTTTTTACTGTTAGCTTTTTTCTTCTCTTCTCTCAACGGTGACTTTTAGAGGGACAGAGGCAATTAGATTAATATTATATCATTATATTATTTTCATCTTGAACATAATTTGGAATTGATACTAGGTGGAAAAATATAAACTCCCATAATTTATTATGGCAGAAGCCTTATACAGCCTTATATGTATGCAGCGGCGTAGCGTGGGTTGTCAGCACCCGGGGCAAGGCAAGTAATTTGCGCCCCCTAACCCGTGGATTTGCGCCCCCTAACCCGTGGATTTGCGCCCCCTAACCTGTGGATTTGCGCCCCCTAACCTGTGGATTTGCCCTAACCCCAGGTGTTGCGCCCGGTGCGGCTGGCCCCCCCTGCACCCCCCACGCTACGCCACTGTATGTATGACATTTAATAAGTACTGCACTCTATTCCCCATTGAGAATACACAAAAGCTCTTTCAGCCAAGGTATGCACTATAGCTCTCACCTACCTATGCATGTCTTCCCATCAGAGTGTAGTACAAACTTCACATGGCAACCACACTTTGGCCCTTGATCTGTATCATCACAAGTGTGTTGGCATCCTCCATTTCCGTAGTTGCAGGTCACTGGAAGGGGCAATAAAACATGCACATACTAAATGATAGCTCTCAAATGTTATCATCATGAAGTCAGTTACTCAGAAACTTGGGTCCAAGTTGTCAGGACACTGAACATATCGATCTAAATAAAATTAGTAGTTTATGCACTCCAAGGACACTCATCAAATAATGTAGGTAGCCTTTTGAGTTTGCAGCAGCCAAAACACCAATATTTTTTAAAGACCTTAACAAATTTATAACAACATACACTTTTGTGCAGTAGAATGTACTTCACCAAATCAAAAACAATCGGCTCCATTATCCCTGCCACATAGAAGGGGGAAACTATTTGTATAATGTGGCACCAAGAGGAAGATATAGATAGAAGGCAGGAATTGATGCAGAAAGCAGAGGTGTACCTGGGGAGTCAGTGAAACCAGTCCCCACCAGGGACACAGGCCCATGTATGTGTGCAAAAATCACCATTCAGGTGTTGGAGTCCTACCTTAGTGAACCTGCTTAAAGTGAAGGTATAACCAGACTAGATTTTCACACAACCTATTGTTCAAAGAGCAGGTATTCTATACACAAATCTTTGATTTGCCAGGGTTTATACACCACTTTCTCCCTTTCTTGCATGAAAGCTCATACATCTTTAAAGATGTATGCTCTAAGATGGATGTTAAGGGGAATCTACTACTATCACTATTCCCGGCAGCTCTCCCACCCCCCTCTTTTTTAAAAGTGGGGAACTGGCACCAATACACCTGCCCACATGTCCAGCATGCTAAAACATGGACAATTTCAAAATCTGGAGATGGCCAACTTGAGATCTACTTTGTAAGAGAAGGCTCACCCCTTTACGCTAGGGCACTGCATCATATATATTTGGGTATAACTAGGTGTATAGCTGGGGATGCGGGTGGTGCTATGGTCTAAACCAGAGAGCCTAGGACTTGCCAATCAGAAGGTTGACGGTTCAAATCCCCGCAACGGGATGAGCTCCCTTTGCTCGGTCCCAGCTCCTGCCCACCTAGCAGTTCGAAAGCATGTCAAAGTGCAAGTAGATAAATAGGTACCGCTCTGGCGGGAAGGTAAACGGCGTTTCCGTGCGCTGCTCTGGTTCACCAGAAGTGGCTTAGTCATGTTGGCCACAGGACCCAGAAGCTGTCTGCAGACAAACGCCAGCTCCCTTGGCCTATAGAGCAAGATGAGCGTGCAACCCCAGTGTCATTCGTGACTGGACCTAATGGTCCTTTACCTTTAGGTGTATAGATACAAGGATGTGCAATTTTTTTTAAAAAAAAATAATTGTAAAAATTGACTGTGTGGTTTTGCCAAATCAGGTCTTAGCCAAAGAATACAAGACTTAAGTTGTGTGTTTCCTGCCTCTTCTGCAAAATAGCACAATTTCATTGAAAAAAACCCCAATGCTGCTTTTATATGGGCTTTCGAGAGAGGGTCCCCAGGCAGTAACTTACACTTGCAGTCTCGCTGATTCTTGGTGAGCTCAAAGCCTGGTCGGCATTCACAGGCAATGCCACCCTTTGGGGTCTCCCTGCAGATGTGGGCACAACCATGATTCTTGTTCATGCAGTTCATTCCTTCTAAAAGAGAAAAGAAACAACATAAAAGCTACCCAAAAGACACCAAAGGAAGCAAGGAAAAGCTCCAGGTATATATACATGGAGTATATACTATTTAACTGTGAAAAGGCATGCATAGATAACTTCTGGAGCAAGTTACTGTAAAGTAGCCTTTCCCAATCTGGTGCCCTCCACATGTTCTGGACTACAATTCCCATCAGCTCTGATCACTGGCCATGCTGCCTGTGGCTGATGGGAGTTGTACTCCACAGGGTGCCAGAATTGGAAAGGATGTGTTCTGTGGAAAGTTAAGTATCTTTTCCTATTCACAACAAGAAGACTAGACTGCACACCCCACACCTGACCCAGACACTAGTCCGCGGCAGCAGCCATGTGGCTGAAGTTCATTGCATGCCTAGCATGGAAGGCTTGGGTGTACTGAAACAGCACTCTGTTCCCGTTAATGTGAGCTGTCTGGAAGCTCCCATTACTAAATACAAGAAAGCCCTGGCTCAGGGGGCTGGCCAGCCAGCTTCTGAAAATCTATCTCTGGGTAGAAATTAAAGTATACGGGGAAAGTGTACTAAGGAAAAGTAAAAACCTCTGGTTCCCAATTGTTTCAGCAGCAATCTAGACCACCGTTCATTGAACATATACAAATTAAAAATATATACAATGCACATAGTAAAGAAAAATATAATACCCAGCAGAGTAAAGCATCTTACTAACTTCAAAGTCCCAAGATACCAAATAATGAAGAATAAGTTATTTGAGATCTACAGATTACCACCAAAAAGCTTTTTTGAAAAGTACCAGTAAGTTTCATGCTAAATACAGGCACAGCCTCTCTCTCAATTTCAGTAAAATGTGCTACAGTATGGATATTTTATTGTTCATACTTTACTAGATGAAAAATCTAGGATGAATTGTATGTTTTATGGAGATGATCACCACTCAACACTGCATTCCCTGCCATTTCACTCCACTACCACTGCTCCATTGTGCCCAAAACCGAGCGTCCTCCAACCTTTCGCATTATAAATCCCACATCAAAACAGCAAACTTTCTCTTCAATTAGATTGTTCCAGCCATCCCTATTGACCAACCTCTTCCCTTCATCCTTCCAGTTGCCCAGTACCCTAGTTAGCCTCTCCTTCCATATCCCTAGCTCTATTCTTCAATGATGCTGTAGGCAGGCAGCCAACTAAGGCCCCAAGAGGGGTCAAAAGTCTCTCAGGCTCTCTCTGTGCTGTAAATCTGCCAGAGGCAGCATTAGCTACAGACACTGCTGTCTGGCCCATCCAAGCTGCAAACAAAACAGGGTGCTGCTGCTGACTCATGCCCCTGGATTGTTTGTGCTTTGCTCTGGCACGGAGGACCGCTGAGTTCCGAGTTTTAGCATCCATCTCTCCATGTCGGCCACCCACCACAGGCAGAAACCAGAGCCAGGAGGGCCATGCCCCCTGTCTCATGGCCTGGAAGGGCTGAAACAGACTAGGAGCCACAGGGATTGGGTCTGTCTGCTTGCCTTGTTGTACAAGGCTGATGTTGAAGTCTGAAAAGAAGAAGCAGCATATTAATTCATGGAGGAGGACTATCAATTCTTCTCTTATACTGAAAACCTAAACCAGTAGATGCAGCAGCAGGTGAACAAATGGAGCTGATTTTCCACATAACAGGGTGCAGGCATCACGCAGGGTCAAACTACATCTGATCCTAACTGTATGGTTCTGCTCTTGAGTATGTATACAGTTTTGGCCTTCACAAATTGTCAGCAAGGGCTCCACCCACCTGGAACCTAGCAATGCGGGAGGAGGGCAGGCGGCTTTAACCCTTTGCCACCTGCTGAGTTCCTAATCCAGACCAGCAACCCCGTGCCTGCAATTTGCATTTTTAAAAAGTCATATTGGAACTCGTGTTTCAAGGAGAGCGCTGTAGCACCAACCCAGACAGACTTCTGAAAGTTGTCGGCAGCAATTCGGATCTGTTTCATTCCTCGCCACTGCTATTATTCTTGGCAGTCTAAAGCATCTCGTAGCAGGAGAGGGCAGAGCTCTCTGCGCTTGCAACCCCTCTCCTGCCAAAGAACTGCTGACAGAAGCACATTAAGCAACCCCTTAAACAAGACCCATCATTCGTTAGCCACTGCTCTAGTGAACAATATATGCACAGCTTGGATTTCAAATCTGGAGGCATTTGACATTAAGCATCTTAAGGAAGCATGGAAGCCTTCCCCACTAAACACTACCCATCATGGACATGTCATGGGTCTTTTACTATGCAAGGACCTTAACTACTAATGAAGGAGGAGGGACAAAGCAATGGCAAGGAAGAGAGAATGGGACCTCTGCCCAAATAAAAGCTTGCGTAAAGCATGCCATGTGGTAGTATTAGGACATGAAGAGGGTTCTGCGTCACACATTGCAAAGTGGATGCTCAGAGCAAGGTTGTGATAAACACAACTGCTGCTGGTTTAGGGATGCTTGGAACAATGATTTAGGAAAATGAGTAGGAAATCACAATTTGCCACTTACTGCTGGCTCTCTTTATGTTTGTCTTTGGAATGAATCACTTCTGATATATTTTTTGAAGCATAGTACAGTAAATAGTGAAGTCTCAACCCTATAGGAAAACAGAGGTGCAAGTACGTAATCATGGTTTTCCCAGATTACGCAAAAGCTTTTGTGCAGACAAGTCTGAAAGTAGAGCAGAAATAGTGACAGATTGTGAAATGCAGCATGTGCCTCACTTCCTCTTCACACTGTTTTTATAAGCATATCACACAAAAATAAATGCACCAATACAAAAATATTTATTGGCTAACAAAGGCCAGCACAACACAATAGGCCCTGTCCACTAGAACTATAACCAGAAATTAATTCAGCCTATGTGACTGTTTACTGGTAATACGAAAGTACAGCGCTGTGTGTGTGTGTGTGTGTGTGAGAGAGAGAGAGAGAGAGAGAGAGAGAGAGAGAAGAGGGAAACCATGGCTGTCATATAGGCCTAACCATGTACACAATCAGAGCATGTTACAGACATTACCAAGGGACAGGGGAGCTAGTGGTTGAGAAGGACCAGTACCAGCAGAAGTTAGTTACTGTTGCACATGGCCTGGAAAACGAACAGCGTTTTATGGGACCCAGTCCCACAAATATGCTAAAACATAGTTTATGAAATACTCACTGTCCAGGATCAGCAACCGAAAAATAAGCAAGGAGAAATAACTAGGATAGGCATCTGGGAAAACAGTTTTTTTATTATCTTGGTTTTTTTCTGTCTACAGTTGCTCTCCCAATACCTTACATTCTCTCACACACTTCCCTACTTCCTTCCCTATTTTATGCTGAAGTTTTTTCAGAACCAACCAATTGCTGAATATTTTCCTCCCCCTGCCGTCCCTACCTGAGCTCTTTGGCTCCATCACAACTGGAAAACCAAGGATCTGATGATACCCACAGCCTCGCTATCCCACTACTATTGCAGACAAGAAAAAGTTGCCAGAACCTCAGCTCTAAAAGCTGGGTTCTGCGGACACTGAATATAACACTCGACGGATTTTAAATATTATTTAACAAAATCCACAGGCAGACAGGAGGAATGGAGACAGCTAGTGTGGTCACACACAGCGTGATTCCAGTAAGAGATTGCACGCAGAATACTCTGGCGCGTTCCCTCAGAAGCATCTCATTTTGAGCATGAGTATCCAAGCAAGCAGCTGCTGGTTGGCTCCCTCTGGGAAAGACTACATAGGAAGCGCAGGGTTTCTCACGCCATTTTACAGCGTCAAGAGGGGAATTGATGCAACCGCAACAGTTGTCTGACTATTTTACAGTCTACCCAGGGTATAATCTCAAGCTTGCTTGGAGGTGCTGTCGGCACAGAGTGCCAAAACCGAGCCAAAATACTACTTGACTTCAGGGCAGATACTGGTAGTGGATGGGCCAGCAACAACAACACTGAGGGGTCCTGAGGTGGGGAGGGAAACCCAAGAAAGATCCCCTCTGGTAAACAAGGTGCATTTAATGAGGATATGGACATGTTCATGATCAGAAGGCTTTTCTGCATGAAAGCTATTCATGGATCAGTTCTCCTCAGTTTAACTGTTCAACCTCTATCTATTTCTCCATTCCTTGAAGATGCAAGGAGCTGAGAAATGGCAGTATTCAGCTAACTGCACAAGGATGACCACTATCACAACAGGTCTCCCCCGCCCCAATCTCCCCACCACCCCATGTCCCTAAATCTGCTCTGGAAGGTGGTGGGAGAAGGGGGAAATGTTCTGCTGCACAAAGAGAAATCCTTGTGCTGATAGAACAATCACTTTAATGCTGTGTTTAATATAACCCAAAGTCTTTGATGCAATGAGAAAATGTCAGAAGAAATGCTGACTTGCTGGGTTAGGCCAATGCCCCCACAGAGTCGAGTATCCTGTTCTCACAGTGGCCAACCGGACACAAGCAAGACAAGCACTCTGCCCACCTGCAATTCCCAGCAGCTATTATTCAGAGGCATACCACCTCTAAATGTGGAAGCAGAAGACAGCCATTGCGGCTTGTAGCTGTTGATAGCATTATCCCTACATGAATCTGTCTAATCCTCTTTTAAAGCCATCCATGTCAGTGGCCATCACTACCTACTGTGGACGAGTTCCATATGTTTCATCATTTGAAATCAAATGTTTGACCATGTTGGATTTCTTTTGCAATTGGCCATTTACATGTGTGTAGAACATGCAGAACAAAAGGCATGAAAGCTAGACTGGGTCACACACCCAAACTCAGAGAAGCAGCTCCAAACCTTATGCAACGCAATCTCCCTAATTCTACTGAGGGGACCTCTGTGCAGTGGCTTCCTGTATTCAGTGCTGCAGCACAAAGGAAGCATATATGCAATGTTTTCAAGTATTTTCGAGTATGGAGGAAGCATCAGTAGAAAAAGTAAGAATGCTTTCTAGAGTAACTGTGACAAGACTGTGCATCAATTCAATCAGACTATAAAAGCTACACAAACCCCCTTTCAAAGCACTGCAAAAGACTACAGAGAG